GTGTGTGTGTGTGTGTGTGTGTGTGTGTGTGTGTGTGTGTGTGTGTGAGACGTGGGGCTGGCTCCGTCGTCATCTCAGTACTTGGGTACTTTGGTGTAGTCCTCCTGGACGACACTCTTGCACAGACACATGGACAGGATCATCCCCAGGAGCTGGAGCAAACAGAGACGTCAGATTGTCACGGGAATCTAACCGACCACCGTTCACCCAAACAGCTGCAGGTGCTTCGTTCAAGAACTCTTCAAGAAGATAAAGTCTTCTCAGAGCTGTATTTGATCTTTTATTCTTCAGGTCAGTCATGGAATACATATTCACATTCTTTACCTTCACATGAGAAAACTTGTTAATTTATCTGTAACTGTAAACTTTAGTTTACAAGGATTAAATTGTTTAACCAGCAGGGGGCAGATTACAGCCTAATCCTCCCTAGAAAAAACAACATACTGGTACAACTTTAGTTTGCACAACCCTTTAATATCTGCTGTTATGGTCATCCAGTTTTCCCTTCTGAATATGATCAGCTCTGCTCCTTATTAAAGTTTCCTGCAACCAAACTATTTTTACAAACTTTGTTCTACTTTAACCATTCATATATCAAAACGTTTAGCTCAATAAAATAGTGTGCTTTGAATTTTAGTTTTTGGTAACTTATACTTTCTGAATTATTTACAATATTTTTCAGCCCATAAGTCACAGTTTTTTGCATAATTTACATGCTCTGCAACTTAAACACCGAAGCAACGTATTTATGGATTTTCTCATATTTATAAAACAATTGTTGCCTGAGACTTGACCGTTTTCATTCATTCTGACTGAAAATATTGAACACTACCATTTTCAGCCGCTAGATGGCGCGCGAGCAGTATGGCATGCTGTTGTGTCAAGCAATAGGTAAAAGTGGCTATTAATGACACAATTGGCTTGCCATACTTGGCACTGTCATCAAACTTGCCTGGAGCAACCTTCAAATCAGTTTCATTTTGCTGCACCGTCCCGGAGAAATGCAGCTGATTGGACCATTGAAGTGCATTTATTAAGTAAAAGTTAGACTGAGACACACCTTTACTATGTCGAGCAAACAAATAATTGTTTTAGGTGCTTATCTTGGTAAATTTCGAAGAAATGCACAGCGAGTCACCCTCTCTGCGCATTCCTGTGTCCGTGAATCAGCTTTTGAAATGCAGCTGATTTGACCGTCAAAGTGCATTTATTAAGGAAAAGTTAGACTGAGACGCACCTTTACTATAACTTCAAGCAAACAAATAATTGTTTTTAAGTGTTAATCTAGTTAAATTCTTGTTAAAATCCTCCTGTGCACGCTCCCGCCACTTGGCAGCAAATTGATTTTTGGCACAACACCGGCCCACATTTCCATTGTCAGCGGTGACGCATAATAAAAGCAACGTATTTATGGATTTTTCCACTTTATTAGACATATTTGGACTGATGCGACTTACAGGACGGTGCGAAATATACGGCGGAAAATACGGTAATTTTATTTGCAAAACAAATCCCAATAGAAGCATTGAGATGTAATAAATTCCTTCAAAATCTCTTCTATTAAATTGATTTCAGCCGGTCGTCTTCATTTTTGTCTTCTCTGTGCTCATTTTAGCTTTCAGCTGTTGGCTTAACAAATGTATTCTTTATCTACATTTTTGCTAATATTAGCTTTAGCCTATGGTTTCGCTAACATTGAATTTTAGCTGCATTTTTGCTGTTTTTAGCATTTGAGAGCTGCTGTGATAAATTTAGATTTTATCTACTGTTTTGCTAATTACAGCGTTTTAGCAACAGTGTTGCTCATTTTTCAGTTTCAGTTTTTCTGATTCATTCTGTTAAAATGTGTTTTTCAGCTGAAGTCGTTCAGTCTTCACACTGCAAATGAGCGTGTGTCCACAGGATTATCAGGGTAATAATAACACGTTACCTCCACCACTGCCACACCAACACAGATCCCCAAAATGACTGCATAGTTGTCCAGCAGCCATTTCTCCACTCTGCTCACACAACCCTGCAGGAGACGACAGGAAGCAGAGGAAAGATGGGGGTTAAAAAAGACACGGGGGTGGGGGTGGGATGGAAAGAGATAAATGGCTGTGTGATCGCAGGCAGACATGCTCAGAGACTTTTCAAAGCACAGCTGCTGGATTTGTAAGAATAACAGGGTTTAGCTGAGCTCAGAGAACGTAACGGTTCTGAAAGAAGCTGAACCAACAGAACAGTGGAGGTTTCCTGGTGTTTGGACCAATCAGCTGTCAGTGATCTATGTGCTGGTTATCTTCCACTGAGCTGGAGTTGCTCAAGTTTAACCACGGTGAAGAAACACCAAACAAGTGTGAGCATGGTCAGGACCACAGGGGGTTTGGCAAATACAGATTTCATGTATTTGTTGTATTGTTCTTCATTTCTGTGTCATAACACGGAAATCACCATCAGATAAAGAAATAAAAACAATCATGTTGCTGGTAGTGACTTTTAGCTGTGCCATGATGCTAGAACTTCTTGAGAATGGTTTGAGAACATAACCAGGAAGAAGACCCGGTCTCTAAGGTATGCAGACTGTCCTCATGGTTTCCAGCTGCAGAGCAGAAGCATTAACTGTCATGTACCGTTTCATGGACCGGCGGTTCTGCAGACATGTACTCGCACAGGCCACCTTCTCTCAGTTCTGGACCAGGCATGGACTCGTTGCGACAGGAGCACGAGTAGAGCTTCTGGGTGCTGTTCTTGATCAAAAGGTTCTCTGACCAGTTGCCTGGACCGGTCCATCCACAGCATTTCATCTGAATGGCACAAAAGAAAAGGGACGGTGTGAGGTTTAGAAACTGTGCAGAGGACAGAGAAAAGAGAGGCAGAAAACAATGTGAAACACGATGAAGGCTACATCTTCTCAGGCTGTTTCTACAAACATCAGAACAAGAGGGACGGGGCAAGACAAACAGAAAGAGACAACATGAGGAGACAGAAAGTTTTGGGCTGATTGGCTCAAACATGTAGAATCTGTCAGAGACTCTTTAAGTGTTTCAGTGTCTGAAAGCTGCCAGCAGAACACAAAGAACTTGAAGGAACTCTGGTTCGTTCAGCTTTAAGCTCTGAAGTGATTAAAACTTAGCAGCAACAGTGGCTTATCAGAGTCCCACCTATTAAAATATGCCCAGAAACAGCAGATTAAAAGCAAAAACAAAGAAATTATAATATATATATACACATCAGCCGTCACGTGTTGAAGTGGCCCTGGACAAGACACTGAACCCCTCGTTGCCTCTGATGTGTGTCCCATCAGTGTAAGAATGTGATAAAGCTCTGATTAGTCTCTTTAGAATGATTTGATCAATTAGCTTTGTAGACATCTAGTAGTGATGTATGAATGGGTAAATGAGGACACAGATTGTAAAGAGCTTTGAGTATCTTGATAAGATAGAAAAGTGCTATGTACGTACAGTCCATTTACCATATACAGTATATATATATATATATATATATATATATATATATATATATATATATACAGTATATACACACACAAAGTGATAAAGAAAAGTAAAATTTTGCAAAACTTTCAGCATTTTATCTTAAAAATATGAGAAAGATATATAGTATTATTTAAAATATTACTGTTTAGCATATATATATATAAGTGTTTATCTTAGATCCTTATATAATGTTTCTTTTTATACTTTATATTTTACTATATTTGGGTGTAACTGGGACCCGGTGTACATACCGGTAATTTTGTTCCACCTCATGTACCACATGTGATGGAAACAACAATAAAGTTGAACTTGATAACAAATGTATCGCAGACAGCACAATTATACATCCATGGATAAACTATTACTGTAGTCCCTCCTTTATCGTGGGGAGCCGTACCCTGAAGACCCACGATAAGTGAAAAACCGCGAAGTAGGAATA